CGTGGTTTTTCACCATGTTCCGTTTGAAATTTGGAAAAACCTAAAACATGAAAGTTGTAGCCCTTTGAGTTAGCTTTCCAACCATATATTGTGGAGCCTAAACGGAGTTCTGATAAAAAAGTTATATCTATTTTACTAGAAAGTGCACAATATGCCTCATCGAGTCTTCGTTTGTTCTCAACTATCAAATTTGACCCCCGAACACGATCCCGGCTTAATTCCTTGAGCTTTTACTCAGACTTCAAAGCTTCAAATCACTTAAATTCATTCCATAACATCTATATAGCTCGGAATCACTCCTACAAGGCATAAAACACACAATTAGTGCAAAACACTAGCGATTAAAGCGCAAACTCAACTAAAGTGCAGTAAATTAGAGTGTAATAATCGACTAAAATACGCAATTATAGCCTATTATCAATGCATGCAGAGAAGAAAACATTCACTACATCATGTGGAGTCTATTATTATAGGGTGATACCATTTGGCCTCAAGAATGTCGGTGCCACCTACATGAGGGCTATCACTACTCTTTTTCATGACATCATCCACAAAAATATTGAAGCAAGCAAAAGTTCTTTGAACGGTTACAAAGGTACAATTTGAAGTTGAACCCTGCAAAGTGTGCATTCGGAGTTCCCGCTGAGAAATTATTGGGTTTCATCATCAGCGGGATAGGGATAAAGCTAGATCCCTCAAAGATCAAGGCCATCTAAGACTTGCCTCCTCCTAAAAGCAAGAAGGTTTCCTTGGAAGACTGAACTACATTATCCGATTCATATCCCAATCAATGATGATCTGCGAACCAAATTTCAAGCTATTGAAGAAAGACGCCGCCACGAAATGGAAGGATGAGTGCCAAAAAGCTTTTGACAGAATTAACAAGTGCCTGTCTAGACCACCAGTGATGGTCCCTCCTGAATCCGTAAAGCCATTATTGCAATATCTATTTGTAATGGATAATGCATTTGGATGCGTGTTGGGGCAACACGACGAGATAGGAAAGAATGAGCAGGCCATTTACTATCTAAGCAAGAAATTCACGTCATACGAAGGCAGATACACCTTGTTGGAACAAACTTGTTGTGCTTTAACTTGGATCGCCCAGAAATTGAGGCACTACCTATCAACATACACCACATACTTGATTTCCAGAATGGACCCGCTCAAGTACATCTTTCAGAAACTGATGCCTATTGGAAAACTAGCAAAGTGGCAAATCCTTCTCAGTGAATTTGAATTGTGTATGTGACACAGAAAGCCATTAAGGGACAAGCTCTAGCTGACCACCTTGCAGAAAACCCAGTAGACAAAGAATACAGGCCACTTACCACCTATTTCCCAGACGAAGAGGTACTATTCGCATAAGACGATATTTTGGAACCTTACCCGAGACGGAGGATGTTCTTTGATGGATTTGCAAACTTCAAGGGAGTAGGGATTGGGCCAGTCTTAGTCTCTGAATCACGATAACATTACCTAAATTCGGCCATGTATTGGTGGAAAAATAGACTTGCCACACGGACTAGTGACATGCTGTAATGTGTCATAAGAATCGAAGCAAAAAAGAAGAATGAAGATCAAAGAAGGCATGAGTAAACACTCACGGGATCGTCTACCAGGATACCATGTCTATTAGCTGGAAAAGAGAAAATAGATATGGAGTAGATAACTAAAGATACAAATGCTACGAAGATGCAAGGTTCAGTAATAGCCACGAACATGGAAAGAAATCAGCTTAATCTCTGATTATGCGCGATTGATTGTTATTACCATAACCGTTACGAATTACCCATGTAACGAGTAATCAATGTAATAAATGTTTGTAATGGACAGGAATTAAATAGGGCGAAACAATTATTAATTATGCCCTTATATAAATTACCTTACCATATCTTGAACTACCATCGAGAAATTCACGAAGTAATACTATCAATTGTCAAGATTTTTGCTATTCTCTGATGTTGGAATATCATGTTCTTTTCTATTGGAAGAAAGTTGCGACTATCAATAAGATTCCTTTTTCCTTATTCTCTGTGTCTCTTTTTCCATTATTTCCGTTCATCTATATTAAGAAAACTGAAGTAAAATTGGTTATTAGAAATTCGAATTAATCTTTTATTTGCTTTGACCACAAAAACAATTGTTTGGTTAAAAAAATTGGTTCCATTGCTGGGAAATCTAGTAATCTTTTCAATTTTCATTTACATATTGTGTCTTTAGCAACAAATTATGTATGAAATTGATCAACTTGTTCAGGTAGAGGATGGACAACAAGGACGGACTCCTTCGCACAACACACCTATACATTCTCCACATCGTTCACGAGCAAATTCACATGTCAGATCTGCTAATCATAACGTTGGGCAACAAAATAAAGAACATTCAAATGTGCAAGATGACTTGAAATAATTAACTGTGCAGCAAATCGGTGATGCTTTGTGTGCTTTTTCAAGTGGGTTACCAAGTGTTGTTTCAGTATCCTCCACCAGTTAATACAACTGAGGAAAATTCTCATTAAGGTCTTGAAAACTCTGGGTGGAGAAAATCCAAATAACTCTGGATCAGGAGGTTCAAGTATGCCAAATAGTTGTAATTTACAAAATCTAGTTCTAAGCTTGTAGCAGCAGCTCAAGGAACAAAATGAGCTGAGAGAATAGATACCTGGGGTGCCACCCGTGATTAAAGGGGTGGATATAGACAAATATTCAAAGCAGCCATAGAAACCAAGTGCAACACATTTACCAATACCTAAAAATTTCAAAATGACTGATATTCCTAAGTATGATGGAACTATTGACCCACGAGATCATGTTACTACGTTCACCACAGGAGTCAAGGACAACGACTTAACCAAACAGGAAATTGAATCAGTTTAGTGAATACATTTGGTGAAACCCTTACGAAGGGAGCACTAACATGGCATTCTCTTATACTTGAAAATTTGATTGACTCTTTTGCTGATGAGCTAGCAAATTCATTTATAAAAGCACATCCGAGAGCTCAAAAAGTAGAAAATAGGTGATTTGGAAAGGAACGGGAAATGACAAGAAGCAATAGTCAAAATTCACGATAAAAAATAGGTGATTACAACTTCAACGACAGTACTTCCGAGTTAGTAGCAGTGTCAAGAGGCATGGGCGATAAGGTACGGTGGCCCAAAGAGATGAGATCAGACCCTAGCAAAAGAAGTCAAGAATTCTGGTGTGAGTTCCATAATGAGCACTATCACAGAACAGTAGATTGCAGTCTCCTACAAGCGGTGGTTGATTATTTATTGAAAATGGGTTATCTCACCGACCTATTTAGTGAGAAAGGTAAGTAGTCTTATATAAAAAACAAGGAATAACAACCGAAGCCCCCAATTACCAAAGAGGACGATGAATGTAATAACTAGGGGTTGAGGAGGCTAATGGAGTAACATGCACGGCAGCAAAAAGCACAGTCAAAATATCAGTGACCCACGGGAAGCGGATTCAACAAGTCTTGGAGGGAGAGAGCATAACATTTGACGATGAAGACACAGATGGCTTGTTCATCCCTCGTAACGATGCGCTGGTAATATCTTTACTTGTTCATGATATTAATGTGAAATGAGTTTTGATTGATTCAGGTAACTCTTTGATCATTATATTACTGAGAGTGGTCAAAGATATGCAAGCAATTGATCATGTGATACCCAAGGCTCGATCTTTATCTGGGTTCCATAATTCAAATGTCATAACAAAGGGAGAAATTACGCTATCTATATTTGTTGAGGGTGTTGTGAAAGACACCAAATTCAAAGTGTTGGATGCAGACATGGCATACAACATGATTTTAGGAAGGCCGTGGATTAACAACATGGATGCAGTACCGTCAACTTTGCATCAAGTTATCAAATTCCCATCACAATAGGGAATTCATCAGATCAGAGGAGATCAACGAGCAGCACGAGAAACCAACACGGTCAAGAACATTTGTTGAAAACCATGGAAGTATGCATTGATGACATGCTAGTTAAATCAGCAAAAGCAGAAGATCATCTGAAACATTTGAGCCCTTTGGTATACTTCGCAAATATAATATGAAGCTGAACATAGAGAAATGCGCTTTTAGTGTGCCATCAGGTAAATTTTTAGGTTTTCTTGTTTCTAACAAGGGGATTGAAGTATATCCAGCTTAGATTAAAGAAATACCGGATGTACTTACAAGTATAAAGGAAGTACAAAGGCTAACTAGGAGAGTAGCTGTTGTAGGGAGATTCATATCAAGATCCTCAGAGAAGTGTTTCAAATTTTTCTCGTTATTGAAAAAATAAAATTAGTTTGAATGGACTAATGACTGCCAACAAGCTTTGAAAGAATTGAAAGCGTACCTGTCAAAACCGCCTCTGCTGTCGAAGCGAAGGGATGGAGAGAGATTACTCATCCACTTAGCTTATCTGAAGTGGTAGAAAGCGTCGTATTGGCATGAGAAGAAAGAGGTACGCAATATCCCATTTACTATGTTAGCAAGTCTTTATTGGAAGCTGAGACATGATATCCTCATTTAGAAAAACTAGCGCTAGCATTAATAATGGCATCTAGAAAGTTACGACCCTATTTTCAATGTCTTCCTACTCCTGTCGTAACTACTTTTCCATTACGAAATATTTTACATAAACATGGATTATCAGGGAGATTATCTAAATGGGCAATAGAACTTAGTGAATATGATATTGTTTATCAGCCACAAAAAGCCATAAAGTCACAGTACTAGCAGATTTCAGTTCAAGTTTACTCCCTGAAGCTGAAAATGAGGTACGAGCTTTTATCGGATCTAATATGGGGACTTGGACATTATACACCGACGGTTCCTCAAATATAAAAGTAGCATGTTTGGGTAATGTTTTAATTTCACCTTCGAGGGGAAATTATTAGGCAAGCAATAAAATGCTACCCTGCGGATATTAATTCAAATTGTCAAATGTTAATTTTAGCAAAACAATACCAGAAGGAACTTTAAATAACTAGTCTCAGGAGATGTGAACAACCAATCAATAATAACACTGAGACATTTAACAAAAGAATTGACAGCATAAATCACCAGATCCTTGTTGTATAAGACATTACAATACAAAGGAGAAGAAAGATTTTCAATTTGGGAAAGACAGCAATTTGAAGAAGATAGCTGTACATTTAAAAAATGCCACTGTGAAGTGTTAAAGAAAAAAATCAGTATTTGATGGATGTCTTGCATCAAGAGCTTTCGCAGAAGCTTTTACTTCCATCAAAGCCTCTATTATCTTTCTTCGTCCTCCTACTCATCTCCATTCTTGCTCAGTTGCCCTTCACTATTTGATCCAGACGGATGCAAGCCATACTCACTTGTGGGATTACTGTACTGATCAGTGCTACCATATTCTTGGCTTGCAAGTGCTAACTTCCTAAATTTCTTCATATCATCACTGTATTGGGAAGCATCATAATCCGAACTTCCGTATGAACTGTAGACTGTGCTGTGTCCAGGTCTAATCCCTTCATTGAGATCGGACAATGACATATCACCTTCTAAAGCTCTGACAACCTGCTCAATTTCAAAGCATTAAGTCTAGCTTAGCATTTTTGCCTCTGGACAAGGACATTGGACCTAATGTTTTAATAGCACCTCAGCTAGTATATTGAGTTTTCACTGAACATGGTTTTAGTTACGTTAATTCCAAATACCTCAGGTAGTAAGAAGTTGAGATATCTTAAAACTTCAAAAGATGGCTTTATCATTACTAGATGAAACTTTCTCAGTGCATGCCAGGATAAGAGCTATACTAATTGACTGCTGAGAATAAACTCTTTCAGAAAAAAATTATTTCACCTGGCTCATTCGCGGTCGACGCTTTGCTGAATGGCGAACAGAAGAAGCAGCGCAAGCAACCATCCGAACCATCTCATTATGGCTATAATCATTTTCCAACCGTGGATCAACAAGTGTATCAAACTTTTCATCTTCAAGTGCTCGTGTGAGCAAAGGTCTTGCCTGTAACAGGCAAGGAGATCAGTAACTTTTCTTCAATGAAAAAAAACTAATGAAACTGAGAAGAAGTTTGGATATATATTGATTGGATGTATATTCTTCAACACGCTAATATAAGTACCTACCCAGTCCACCAAACTGTCATCCATGGATGATTGACTTGAGCCAACTGGGCGACGTCCAGTTAACAACTCTAGAAGCATTACTCCAAAGGAGTACACATCTGATTTTTCTGAAAGCTTCCCAGAAGAAGCATATTCTGGAGCCAAATATCTAGTGTCAACACAAAAAGCAAATTACAGTTAGACTCTAATTGGTAAAAATGAAAGAAAAAAAACATTAAAATTGTTAACACGGATATTGATAGGGAACGTCAATAACACGAACAAGAATTTAAAACCTTAGGGTGCAATCGGAGATAAAATATGAACTCCATTTGCAAATAGAGATTTGTCTTGGAAGTAAGAGAGTAAGCAGCATACAAGTTGAAAGAATCTAAAATCTTACCCAAAAGTTCCCATCACTCTGGTAGAAACATGAGTGTTAAAATCAGAAGTGATCTTTGCAAGTCCAAAATCTGCAACCTGATAGACAAACAGGGTTTATTTATTAGTGCAGAAACGAAAACAAGATGCTGGATTCCTGATCAGTTTCTGTCATGTTTGTCAAACTAGTAACGGAATTTAGTTTCTCTTGGTGAATTTAACTTCTGGTGTATTATCTGTACTTTATGAAATAACCACCGGAACGTATTCTCGATAATAATACGACAACTTAGACCCAAGCAAATGAAGTTCTAGTCATATTCTGGTCATGTATGCTGAAGTCTGTACCTTTGCCTCAAAGTTAAAGTCAATAAGTATATTAGCTGCCTTGATATCACGATGTATGATTTTAGGTTGGCCTGTGATGTGAAGGAAAAGACTTCATTTAGGGTACAGAACTAATCTGACACAAAAGCCGATAAGGATTATCAAATGATTTAACAAAAAAACTGTTAAACCAAGAGAGTAAGAAAAACGTACAATCTTCATGCAGGTATGCCAATCCTTTGGCAGATCCTAGAGCAATCTTCAATCGTGCTGGCCAATCCAATGTAGGCCTTCCCTTTTCTGAAATTATAAGCATTTGAAAGTATATTTAGCTAAGAAGATTGAATCTGGCATGTTACGTTTTTTGATAGAAAAAGGTTGTATGTTTAATTTACCATGTAAATGGAATTCCAATGTGTTGTTTGGAACAAATTCGTAGACAAGCATCCTCTGAGATCCAGTGATACAGTATCCGACAAGAGAGACAAGATGTCTATGATGTACTCGGCTAATGATCTCAACCTCAGCCTGAAATTCACGCTCGCCCTGTCTACTTCCAGCCTTAAGCTGTTTAACAGCAACCACTTTGCCATTAGGAAGGAGTCCTCTATGCACATAACCAAAACCACCTTGTCCGAGAAGGTTTGCATTTGAGAAGCCATCAGTTGCCCGTGCCAATTCCTCATATGTGAATGTGCTCTGAGGGAAACCTAACGCCATTTCAGGAGAAGGCGGTGGGAGTGGATTTTCAGATCCAGAATAATTCGATGATGCTCCACTACTGCTCATGTAAGGCAGAGGCTGAGGAGGAAGTGGAGAGTGTGGAGGCCGTGCTGCCCCTGCCGGTGATGGAGATGGTTTCAGGGGAACTGAAGCAAAATGATCTCCACGTAATGGAGCATTTTGCTGCCAGTGAGAGTCAGCTGCCGAATAAGACTAACATCAGTCTTAAAGTGATATGATAATGAAGCCCGACAACAGTAAAAACATCAACCTACCTGTACATTGACTGTAATACTACATATATTAACACACACAGTTTATTAAACAAATACAGATGAAGTACAGAGGTGGATCTACCCTTCTGACACTGGGTTCAATTGAACCCATACTTTCGACGCAGAGTATAAATTTATGTGTAATATTCATTAAAATTGCAACAGATAGTAGATATGAACCCATAAGTTTAAAAATACAAGGCCAAATGGCCTCGTGGCCACTTAAACTTATATCAGTTTGTAAACCCGATACATAAATTTATATTTTTTCCATTTGAACACTCCAACTTGACGGAATGAATATTAATAAACACATTTGACTGTTGATCATGCCTATGTGAAATTGGCACAGCTGACATGGCTAAATTGTGTGCAAATCACACTGCCAAGGCGCGTGGATAATTTTGTTTTTATTAAAAAATTATTAGAATCAGAATAAAACATAAATGGGAAAGAAAAAAGACCTTTCTCTCTCCCCTTCTCTTTTCCCCTCCCTCCCGCCTCACTCATCTTCCCTAGCAAACTCACACCCCTTTCTCTAAAAAATTATCCTGCTTTCCCTCCCCCTCCCCTTTCCCCGTTTCTTTTTCCCTTCCACTTCCCCCTTCAATAATTTTTTCTTTTATTTGTTAGTCTCTGCCCACCAGCCCCCCCCCCCCCCCCTCCTTCTCTTCTTCTTCCTTTTCCTTATCTCTTCTTTCTTTTCTTTCACAGTACACTTAGTAGATTGCAAATGTGAATTGAGGAAAAATTAGGTTGCTTTGATAGAAGAACAAAATAATGAAGTTTAATTTTTCGTCTTCAAAGGAATTCACCAATGGCATTTAGTGAAAATACTTTTAAAATAAATATTTCTTAGACTTTTTGGTTGATTTAGGTCGGGAGAACAACAATAGATTTTTACTGGAAAAAGGTGGGTTGGGGGCTATTCGGTTGTAGGTGATTATGGGAGGAAGAAGATGATAGTGGTTAAAAATGGCTAAGGCTTGGTATTTTTGGTGGATTATTAGCTGTGTATGGTGAAGAAAAAGAGAAAGAAAAAGAAATTAAAATTTTAAAGATTAATGTTTTTTAAAAATCCACATGCCATATAATAAATACCAAATATGTGATATGGTATTCATGTCAGAGCGATTGACGAACACGTTCAACAGAAAGTGTTTATTAGTATCTACTCCGTCAACTTAGAGTGTTCGAATGGAAAAAGTATAAGTTCATCTATCAGATTTACAAACTGATACAAGTTTAAGTGGCTAGGAGGGCATTTGGCCAAAATACAATGCGTTCAATGGTAAGAACCTCAAAAATTGAACTCATAGAGTTTAAATCTTGGATTCGGCTCTTAGGGTAACACCTCATATTCTTTCCAAGAGACGTATTTCCAATACCAATTATGTGAGTTGTTTCAATACGGTCAACAATCTTTTTCACACCAGCGCTTATATTGCTTGCCCTATCTCCCTATCAAGTCGTCAATTATCATTGGCAAAAATTACAAAGTCTATATGGTTTACTAGCAATTTCTGTCCAATATATCTCAAGCCCTTGCAAATAACAGAGGAAAAGGGCAGACGATCATACTTGACTTGATAAAAATCGAAGAAAACAAGTTCCCCATATTCAATTTTTTCAAACTTAAAAAGGAAAAGAACAATTGAATAATTTATGATTCTCAACCCATATAATATTCAGACAATTAATAGAGCCATGGTATAACAAAAATTTGGTAAATTTTTTGGTGAATAAAAATTTATGTACAATGAAAAACAAATAATTAGAATTTTGAACAAAAGATTGCACCTTTGACCGGCAATGGTGGTGGAGGTGGGTTATAGTAATCTATTGGTCTCTTCCTCTTTCTCTTGCAATATATGATCAGCAAAGCCAGTACCGCCAGAATCACAAGACCCCCTATGGCTATTCCCACCACTGCTCCTGTCGGTATTCCTGAAGACCCTCCACCTGACGGCGGCGATGACGACACCGGCGTTGAGGGCCCTCCTCCACTAGGTGATGGCTGAGACCCTCCTCCTGACTCAGAAGGTGCTGAAGGAGAGTCTCCGCTTATCGGCGGTGAAGGTGAAGAACCGGAATTAGGAGGAGAAGGGGTGGTGGAGGGAGGAGATTCAGATGGCGGAAAACCAGAGGCGGCCGGAGGCGGAGTTATCGCAGGGGGCGTTGGGCTTGAAGGAGGAGCTTGAGCTGGAGGAGCCGGTGTTGGTAGTGATGGAGACGAAGCAGCAGCAGGAGGAGGAGCTGTAGTGTTAGTAGGTAGCGCAGGAGGCGACGGTGGCGCCGGAGTGGACATTTTCCGGAAACCCCTTTATTATTATGGAAAATAAAACAAAAACACAAGCGCGCAAACAAATGCTAGTATACAAACTTGGATAATATGAAATATGCGGCAAAGTTTGCTTTTTATCCTTTGCTTCTCTCTGTAGATATTTACTGGTAGTAGTGGTAGCAGTTAGGAATGAAAGATACGTCTTGAAATATATAGAAATTTATAAGCTACTGCTACTAAGAGCGGATTTAGGGGCGGAACGGTTCGCTCGCCAGAAAAAATTACACATAAAACAACTCCTTTTATCTCTACTACCATTGCTACTGCAATGTTATGTTATGTTGATGGAGACTGGGGATCATGTTCGTGTGGGGCAGAATTCAGGAGGAGAATGATCGGACAGGTTGGAACAGAATGGACCCATGCGTTACACCCTGGCCGCGGATTTACCTGCTCCCATCTGTCTAATCCTCCTTGGAGTAGATTTTAAGTGAGGCTACAGTGGTTGAATGAACATGAATTGGCGCCCGTCGGTTTCAATTCATGCAGGGATGTTTGATTGAACACAATTTAACAAAAAAAAATATTAGCATTTGTTTTAAATATATTATACAGTTAAATTATTTTAGTTTCATTTATGTTATAAATATAAATTATTAGGTGATAAAAGTAATTAACGGTAACTAATTTGTTATCACAAAACTAATACTATTACTGTCTCTTTTAATTTAAATGACATATTTTCCTTATTAGTCTATACCAGAAAGAATGGCATGCTTTTATATTTGAAACAACTTAACTTTATATATTTTTTTTACCCATTGTACTTTTAATGTGAATCTTTTATAGCCACACAAATATCATGACTCCATAAAACTTTGTCCCTTAAACTTTTAAGATCACATATTTTAAAAGTTTTTTTTTTCCTTAAACTTTATGTCAAGTCAATCTAAAATATTTAAATTAAATTAAAACGGAGGTAATATAAAAATATCACATAAATTAAGAGAGGGGCAATTGTGCGTTCGTTTTGTGTTCTTGGATAACGAATGGATTGTTCTTTTTTCCATTTTCGGAATAAGGTTCTTTGGCTGTCCCACCCGGTGACAAGTTGAAATAGGGTGAGCTGGTTATTCCCACGGTAGCTCCATCACCGTTTCTAATTTCATATGTTTGACCTAATTCATTCTTTCCAATTTGGTTAACATTGCTTAATTGGATGTCCACCGAACCATTATACTAAGAGTCCATTTGGATTGGCTTGTTTTAAGTGCTTTTAAGCTAAAATAACTTTTAAGTCATTTTGTAATTAAGTAAAAAGTGTTTTTAAACACTTGTTTTTAAGCTAAAATGACAAAAACAAGCCAAAAGCAAAAAGTTAGAATTTCTAACTTATGGCTTAAAAGCTATTTTGACTTAAAAGTCACTTAAAACAAGCACATCCAAATGGGCTCTAAGTGTGAAAATATTTATATCCCCAAGTTTGCTTTAAAAATCAAACTCATTCACCAACTTTGAAGAATTATCATTTTACTCCTTATATCAAAGGTAACTTCTTAAAATGCCTATTTTACCCCTACAAATTTTATCTCTTATTTTTGTTTTTTAATATAATAATTTTATTATTTTAATGTATGTTATTGACTTACGTGTAGAATAATTCAAAAAACTTTTTCAAAATCAAAAAAAGTGAGAAGTAGTGAAGCAGATAAGTTAATGATGTTGAATAGTGAAATAAATGAGAGAAACAAAAAATTACAATAAATAATTTACTCGTATCAGTAACTTTATTAATAGCATTCAAAACTCAATCTATTTATGAAATAGAGAATAAAAGAGAGTGGAAATTTTATTACTAATACAATGCAGGTAATAAAAAAATAATGGGCGAAAAATAGAGGTAAAATATATAATAAATTTGCAAAAGTTATCTATTTACACTTTGCATGAACTTTAATTATAATTAGAAAAATCTTGTAATAACAATCAAAACTCAAAAAATTGAGGGTTTTACGGATCTGTCGAATTTGGAGAAGAAATTAGCGGTACATTGGATTGATATTTATTCCAGGAGGTATATTGTGTAACTCCTTCACCTGTTAAGTGTTTTCATCTCATCTTCTTCGTTATTGTTAATTTGCGTTTCTGCAAAAAAATTATGTACAATGCTCGACCACTAGTGTACAATAGACCACTGGTTCACAATAGACTGATGGGAGATTATATATTAGTATGCGACCTATATTATGGTGAATGGGTTGAGGGGCTAACTAGTTAGGATTGGAATTTATATACAAATGTTACAGTACCTATCTGTATTCCTATCAATTGTACATTTGACGAATTTGTTGATGTTATCATTGAACGTGGAAAACTAACATGTTTCCCGAGGAATTTAAATATTACATATATGCTTAGCTCTGCACCGAAGAGAAACAAGATTCCCCATTCCTTCATTAAGAATGACAATGATTTGCAATTGTAACTCCTTAATGCTACAATTGATGGTATGAGGCCTTGTTTGAAGATATTTGTGGCTAAAAATGAGTTTGAAGAAGGGGCTGAAGTTTTCATTGAAAGGTCTCATCAAGGTTCAAATGTGCAGCTACACCACCACCACCGCCACCAACATAGCCACCAATTTTAGAAGTAGAGGAGAAAATAATGAAAAAAGATGGCTTCAGTGGATTTAGTGATGACTTGCATGATTTTGGTGACAATGAAATGAACTCGTATGGTTTGGAGGATGCAAATGGAGCGAAAGAGCTCCCAGATATTGTCGGTCGGACAGCTGGAGATGAAGGATTGATGGACTCGTTAGCTACACAACACAACCACCTTGATGGTACAGGTTTTTTCCTTGGGAAATGTTTTGACAACAAATTGGATCTAATGAAACAGTTGGAGATTGCTTCTGTGAAAATGCATTTTACATTCATATGAGGAAGAGGAGTAGTAAATTAACTTCAGTGACATGCCGAGATGCGAGTTGCCCATGGAAGTTACGCGCTTTAAAGTATGAGAGTTCTGACATGTTTTATATTACCAAGTACCATGGCGAGCACACATGCGGGGAACAACACATATCAAGCCGTCATCCTAACGCATTGTCGAAGACTTCGGGTGCATATTACCAGGAACGGTATGTTAATGGCAAAGGTAAATCCCCGTCAGATCTGAAAGATGCTATTTTTGCAGATTTTAATCAAAATCTTACTTATTGGAGAAGCTGGAAGGTAGGTGAAATAGCTAAGGCTATGATCAAGGGTACTCAGGAAGACGGGTATACTTGTTGGAAGTGTATCGCCATGTTATGTTGTCCTATAATGAAGAAAGTATTGTTGATTTGAAGGTAGATGATAAATTGCATTTTAGATATTTTTTCTTATATGTTGGAGCTTTTATTAAGGGATTCGCGCATATGACGAAGTTTATTGTTATTGATGGGACTTTTTTAGCGACAGGTACGAAGGTTGCTTGTTGTCTGCTGTGGCACAATATATAGAGAATCACATTTTTTTCAATTGCGTTCTGTGTAGTCGATAAAGAGTGCAATGATTCTTGGACCTACTTTTTTGAACAGTTACGGCACATTGTTGACAACAGCGATGAATTATGTACTATCTCTTATCAGCATCTATCTATTGGGAATGACTTAAAATTTGTTGACACTCATCATGATTTTTGCACGCGTCACACTGCTAAAAATACGCGCAAGAGGTTTTATTTTGGAATTTTTATTGAGCATTTCTTTTATGTCGCACAGTCATACAATACTGAGGAATTCTTTGACCATTTTCAGTAACTGCGTGATAAAAATAGGGGAGTAGCTAACTGCCTCGCGAACGAAATTGGGTTCCAAAAATGGAGCAGGGCCTTCTTTCCAGGAAACCGATGTGGCGTGTTGATAACAAACGTTGCAGAATCACTTAACGCAGTGCTTAAGGATCAAAGAGACTTCCCGATCATTGGCCTATTCAATCATATTTTTCAAAAGTTTGCAGAAAAATTCAAGGAGCGGCGTAACGAAATAAAAAATATTTTGACCCTCTTTGTTCCTTCTGGTGAAAAGAAGATTAGGAATAATATGGTTGTTGGTGACGCGCTCCAGGTGCATCAATTAGAGAATAACTAGTTTAGCGTCGTCGGTCACGGCAGGAATGCAGTTGTTGATCTGGATTTGAACAAATGTTCTTGTTGTCAGTTTAATTTGGAAAAAATACCCTGCCCACATGCAATGGAAGCTCTGAGATTGAGCTTTGAGGATGGATATAGTTCCTCCATTTACAATCACTCCTCTCCGTTCTATAAGATTTCAACATATTTGGCTGCATACGAAGGAACCGTTCTCACAATCCCTAGAGAAGAGAAATGGGTGGTGTCTGACGAGATTCAATTCACAAAAATACTTCCACCTGATGTTGATCCTACAAAGGGTAGAAGGAAGTTTAAGAGATAGGCAAGCATTTTAGAACCTAGTTCTTCTGGCAGCAGAAAAAAGGCAAAAATAGATGTTCCATTTGCAAAGAAGTTAGCCACAAAAAATAACTTGTAAAATATTGTTGCAGCATTCTTGATCGTTTAGCTACTGGTGCTATAATAAAGATAATTAAGTGTTTTAATATTCTAGACTTGTTGTTTGTAATCACTTGTTGTTTCTACTTTCAACTGTTGCATTGTACATAATAGACTATTATTTTATGGTCAACCACCAGCATTGTCTATTTGCAGACCTATGATCTAGAGTCAACCGTCCCTTTTTTTAAGGAGTCATGTGACCAAGTTGTCTCATATACTACTGTTTTATGGTTAACCACTCGCATTGTATATTGTAAACCTATGATCTATAATCAACCCTATTATTTTAAGAAGGAGTCATGTGACCTTCTGTTGTAGACTACTGTTTTAGAATCAACCACTTGTAATCAACCAATTTTCTATTGTCAACCCCCGTCGATATTTACAATTTAACCAAGACTTATTCCGCTGGTTTAGATAGTCTATTAATAACCACTGGTTTAGGTAGTTAATTTAATGTCTAATGTTAATAAGCGCTGGCAGCCAATATGAAAGGACTTGTCTAATTTATCGAAATACATCGAATATGTCGATTCAAAGCATCAATTCGTTTCTCAAAACTCTCAACAGTCACGTCATTTACAAAAAGTCATATTGAAAGGCACCATTTAGTGTCAAATTCTACTTATAAATACACTAGATCTTATGGAAATATTTATTCATCATTCTTTCAAATAGCCCAATCACTAACAGAGAAATGCCTCCGAGGCCAAGGCCAAGCATGAACACCATTTTTATCAGGGAATCACGGGATAGGCTCATCCGAGAGATCCAAGAAAACAGGGTGAGGAAAGAGAATAACATCGTCGTATCGCACGCATGTTGCAGATTCTCCTTCGTAGGGCTGGTGCAAATATTCACCACTATGTTAGCCTAGGAAATTTCCCTCCCGA